CCGTCTTGGAATTTTAGGATCCAAAACAGATCCCTCTCTCTTCATTCTCAAAATAGGCCGTGTTATTGTTTATGTTCTTGTTTACGTGGATGATATTATTGTCACAGGTAATGACACTACGACTATCGATCAGATCATTCATCAACTGGGATCTACCTTTGCCGTCAAAGATCTTGGCAAACTTCATTACTTCTTGGGTATTGAAGCTGTTTCCCATGGCCATGACATTATTTTGTCCCAACACAAGTGTATTTTGGACTTACTTCAACGCTCCAGTCTAACATATTGTAATTCGGTATCATCTCCCATGAGCACTACTCAGATCTTGACTCCCGATGATAGTCCATACCTCTCCAACCCTGTTGCCTATCGACAAATTGTTGGAGCACCTTAGTATGTTACACTTTCTAGACCCGACATTGCCTTTGCTGTCAATAAGGTATGTCAGTTCAAGCATGCTCCCACTGAGAACCACTGGTCTGCTGTCAAAAGGATATTGCGCTATCTCAAAGGAACTGCTAATTTTGGTTTATTTCTTCATCACAACTCGGACTCCTCTCTTCAAGCCTTCACTGATAGTTGTTGGCAACCTACTGATGGCTCAAAAATTAACGCCTTCTCTAATTCTGATTGGGCTGGCTGCTTGGTCGATCGACATTCCACGGGAGGGTTTGCTATCTATTTGGGGTCCAACTTGATCTCCTGGAATACTCGCAAACAATGAACTGTTTCAAGGTCCTCTACGGAGTCCGAGTACAAGGCTTTTGCAGACACTGTTGTTAGTTGCTTTGGCTAAGGGCTCTCCTACATGAACTAGGAGTTTCTAAAAAATTCTCTCCCACACTATGGTGTGACAACCTTGGAGCCACATATCTCTCTGCAAATCCGGTTTTTCATGCCCGAACAAAACATGCTAAAGTAGATTTTCATTTTGTTCGTGAACAAGTTGCCCGAGGTCATTAACAGTCCAATTTATATCTACCAATGATCATATTGCTGATGTGTTCACTAAGCCTTTATCTTCTCAAAGATTTCTCTTTTTACGGTCCAAGCTACAGTTTATATTATAGTTAGACATATGTTTATATATCTTCTCAATGATCAGATTGCTGATGTGTTGCCCGAGGTCGTTCCCTGCCCTCAGCTTGCGGGAGAATGTTAAACATATGTTTAGATAGTCTATTGATAGTGTTTATATTATAGTGTATCTAAATGTAACTATCTATCCTATATATAAGATTGTAATCTACGCTTCATAATATACAATCAATTACCCTTTACATGGTTTAACTGTCAGAAAAGTTTCAGGATGCATTATTCAGTGGTGGAGTGGTGGATGACAGGTTGTGTGGTTAGAGATTGAAAAAATAGATGTTATGGGGCAAAGTGTGCATGAGGACTATTACAAAGAACCTTACTTAGTCAACAAAAGAGATAAAAGTGTTGAGTATCATGAAGATAAGAATATGGGTTCATTTGTTTCAATACATTCCCGGGAACATGATTTTTCTTATGGTGGAGTTGCATACTATAGTTGTTGCAAATGAGGTAATTAAAGCCTCTACTCCTTGTATCTCCAATCTGGATACCGAAAACAAGGTTACTAATGCAGGTGTGAATGGTAATTATGGCCAACTCTAATGACTTCAATGGTAATCAAGATGTTTGTAAGGAGATGAACAGGTTTTTTAGCTCAAATGAGGCCGAATCAGGCATGGGGTTATGTGTTGTTAACGCTGTTAAGGACACTGCGGACATGAAAAAAACACTAAAGGAGAGTGGTCAAAAAGACCACTGATAACTTGATGTGGATGATCTATTTTCAGCCTCAAATGACCATATTTGTAAGTCTAACTTTGTTGCAAAAACACTACTGATAACTTGATAGGATATCAAGATGAGATGGAAAATAAAAATCAATGAGAATATGATATTCTTTTGACAACAACAAATAGTAACACTAAAGATATAGAGGACGGTAAAGATAAGATATACAAATTAATATGTGATACTATTACTATCCTGTCTCGTGTGGTGGAGAAAAAGGGGCGGCCTAAAAGTGTTGCTTCTGAAAAAAAAAAAACACAAATGATACAAGAAATCTCATCTTTCAGAATCGGAGTCTTAAAATATTAAGGTGTAGCAAGTGAATTTTACGTAGTATCCAAATAAATTATAGAATCCTATCAAGGATTTGAGCTTTTGAGTCCATACACACGATAGACATTGTTGATAAGGCAACGGTCAAGATTTCAGCTCAAATTATGATCAAGAAATAGCACACAATTCAAGAAGTGTTTAATTTTGATACCTATGCTTAAAAGAATCATGGGGAAATAACATATAATTCCAAATGTGTTCAATTTTGTAGTAGAGGCTGGTATATATTATCTTAATTCTTCTGGAAAAGTAGGTCATAGACAATTGAGTTTGCAATAGCATCAGGCTACCCATTTTCCGAATGCATCTATTTTCAATTCATGCCAGTCATGTAGCCTCACTTTCTCAATCCTTTTCATGTGAAGGATGAGACCTTGAAGATCCCCCCTCACCCTACATAGAAACGAAAAGTAAGAAAATTTTAAAAGTTATATATTATACAGGATACAATACAAAATGCTATGAAAACAGATAGTTACTTGGAAGCGTATACATTAAGCGTATACATTATGTTACATTTTCTTGATTCAACAGTATTAATGATTCCTAGTGACACATCTCTTCCAAATTCTTGAAGCAATTTAAGCATTCTCAACATGTTGCTTGGTTCTATCCTAAGAATGAATCTATCAATAAGATTCCTTAAAATCAAGCAATATGCTTAAACAATTTCATGTTGTTTTCCAAAATGAAATAGTTTGTTTTTAACATAGAATTTACCCAAGAAATCTACTGAAGATGATTAATCTATGAATTGGTCCCAATTGCATATTACACTGTGACAAGTACAGGGAATGGTGAGAATTCAATCCTAGATTTTGACCCTTAGTGTTTAGACATGGTATGAACAGATATTTGTAATATTCAATGATTCCAAATTTTAATATTTCCACTTCAATGCATTCAATGAAAGGTTATAACTCCCTTATTTTGTTACACCCTAAACCAATTGAGAACTTTGATTCCTAATATTCGGTTGTGTATTCCTTTTGTTCACGCGATGAGAGAAAAGGTTTGGGTGTCAAAAAGTATACCTCATGTGCGCGACCACTTATGTCAGGCTTCCTTTGGGATAAAGCTCTGAACCAACAATATTCCTTTTGTACTGAAAACAGATAAAAAGTTATGTGTTAATCATTATTCACAAAAAAAAAACACTTGGACAAAGTAGTTGTACGAATTGGGTCCAGGTATATTTATGTGATCCAGCATATCAAAAAAGCCTTGATCAATTGAGTGTGCTGATAAGCCCCACACAGAGTAAAGAGAATAAGCAGGAAATTCACAACCGGAAACAAGTAACTGATAATTAATGATTTATTAGGGTTTTCCCATTCTTTCAAGAGGAAGGGCCTCTCAAATAGTTTTTGCAACTAGAATTTTCTTAGCTGACAATCTTCTAGAAAATGAAAAGTTTAAATACTCCTCAGGGTGGGGTAAAATGGATGCCACCACACCATATCAATTCACTTGATTATGACAGAATGGAAACTTCAGCTGTGTGCAGAAAAGAAACAGAGCATGAGTGAAACAGGGGAGGATAGAAATCTGGGAAAATTACTTGTTCTTCAAGTTTTTATTACTGAAAAGACTGAAAAAAAACTTAATTAAAAACGTCACACAACCATATCCTATTTATACTAAACTAATTGGAATCCTAAACTAACTCAAAACTTTAAATTAGGAAAGTTTTCCCAAAATACCCCTGGGACCAAAACTGTCCCCGTTTTTGAATCAATGTTTGGGTCTATTCATTTTATAAATTAAAAGTACAACTTTTATTTTTTACATTTTATAAAAAAAAATCTTATCTTATAGGTCAATAAATATCAATAATATATATATGATCCAGTTGTTTAAAAGATTTAAGTTATGATCCATTTGTTAAAATAAGTGGGTCATTGTCCATCTATTTAAAGAAAGTGGGTGATGCGTCAGGTAGGTCATTATACATAAGACATGAGAATAAAATATATTTAACAAAAATCACACCTACCTTGAAAGTTGGGGCCGTCTGGAATGAATTTACGATGATATGGAAACAATTGAATGCCATGTGAAAAAAAGTGCACGTGGTCCAGGATGTATTGTCCTGTAGTTGTTTGAAAAGGAGAGAGATCTCCACCAATTATGTGATTCCATGACTTGTAATAACCCAACACATCTTCTTCTTCTTCATCCATCTTCTCTCCATCATCCTCATACACAAGACTCACCCCACACTCCTTTACAAGTTCAAAATGTGGCGGTGTAACAGTAACAGTAATGTGGTCACCACCTTCCATCTCATTCATCCCAAACATCCAATGACTTAACACCACCCAACACTCTTGCCCTACACCAAATGGCATCCCGTAATGTTCGTATATCCACATACTGTTCTTTGTTATATTACTAACTGTGACCATCAGTGTAATGGGGAAATGATCAAGTAGAATTAAAGGCCTCTCATACCAAACTCGCCCTGTCTGCAGAAAGCAGAAGTTGATTCCTTTAAGGAGGTTGTTTGGAGATGATGATGGGATGGTAAATGATATCGATGGCCCTGCGCTTCTATGAATAAACCAACTCGGCATCTCCTCTGTGTCATATGTTGTGCTGAATATTCCAAATTCATATAACATCTGCCAAATACAAACATCTTAATTAAATGATTATATTATAGTATTTTATGTAGTCAAATAAAGAAAGACAGTTAACTGGACAAAACCTGCATTTGAGATTCCCTAGGATTATTTCCCCCGTTCCTTTTGTTATGGAGTAAATTAATCCAGCCCAAGCTACGTAATACCTTTTCCTCAACACTCATCATTGCTTGGATTTTCAGCGTGCCTTCAATTTCATACGGCCCACGTGTGAAAACTCTTGAAGAATAAAGTAACCTGAGGGGGGACATTTCAGGATCAAATACAACTTTTTCTAAAGACCCGGGATAAGAATGGAGCCACATTTCTTTTAGTGTGTGTGGAGGAAGTTCGACTGACTTCAATTTATTACAGTATCGCATACTAAGTATCTCAACCCTATGAAGGGTTCTCACACAATTGGGCATGGAATGGATAGGATTATTATCTAAATATAATTCCTTTAACAAGGACAGACTACTGAAATCCATAGGAAAGGATTCGGTGGACAAATTATTATTTGCAAGGGACAACCTTACTAGAGATCTTGGCAAAGAACTTGAAAAAAACTTCAAACGGCTTGGTATAGCACCCACAAAGGTGGAGGAAGAGGTTCTTGTGCTTATGCTAATGTTTTTGTTAGCATTGCACATGTCCAGTGAATCCATATCTAAATTTGTATCCTCAGTTTGAGATTCACCCAGATTACAACCATCTAGCAACATTGTTTTAACCTTCTTTAGCATGCCTATGATTCTTGGAAGGTTTTTAAGCTGCTTGCAGTAGCTTAGATCGATGAGGGCAAGTTCAACACACTGCTCAATTGATTCACTAACCTCAAGCAAACCAGTGCAATTTCTGACTATTAACCTCTCCAGAGCTGGGAATTGGTCAAAGTCACCAAGACTACAAAGTTGTTTACAGAAACTTAAATTAAGAACCTTCAATGATCCAAGCAACCTTTTGTTTTTAAAGCATAATCCATCCAACTATAAAAAATGGAAGAATTTAGAACTGTAGTAAAATTCAACTAAGCATAAAAAATAATAAATGAAGATAAGTTACCTTTTGCCTCTTCTCAAGTCGTTGTGGATTACTATAACAACCGATAAATGATTCAATATTGCTATATGACATGTCAAGAGCAACAAGATTCTCCATAGGTAGTTCTGAAGGTATATACTTCAAATGAAACCCATGCATACACAAACCTCTTAGTTCCGGTGGAAAGTTCTCATAAGACCCATTCATGTGAACATAATTGAGTTGTAATAGCATCAAATTATCCATCTTACTTAATGCATCTGTTTTTAGCTTATATGATGCACCCAACATCTCTTTCTCAAGCATGCGCATGTCAAGGGCAAGGCCAACAAGATTTCCCTTACCCTAAGAAGAAACATAATGTAAATAAAAAGTTAAGACCATACAAAATATTTTTAACATGCATACTTTTAAAACCACATATGACCTCTTACCTTTTTTTGTTTTAATACTCTGAATGACTCCTCATGACACCATAATAGACTTCGCTTCCATGGCTTGTCAAGTGATTCTTGATGTACTTCGAATCTTCCCATCTCTTGAACCAACTGATGCATCTTCAATTCGTTTTTCCCTCCAATTGTAAGAAGGAATCGGTCGAAGAGATTCGGGATTCCAGATCTTATGTTTATATTGCATGCCTTTAATATTGTTTCAGCAACATCTCGATCTATTCCAACAAAAAAACAAGCAATATACTTAAACAAGTCCTTATCATTTTTGGATGGCAAAGAGTTAAAGCTCATTCTCAAGACATTATTCACATGAGAATCTGTTTCTTTCTTTAGCCCTTCTATGCACCCTTCCCAATAAGTTACATCTCGATCATATAGAGATTTTCCCAATACTACAAGAGCCAATGGATGTCCTTGACAATACTTCACAAGCTTATATAACACCCCTTCATAACCTGTCTTGGGATAGTTGCATTTGAATGCATGGAGACACAAAAGTTTCCATGATTCGGTCTCATGTAAGCCTTGAAGCAAGAGCTCTGTATGCTTTGGTTTAATGTCTGTTTTGAATAGTGCACACCTCTCTATCAAACGTCTTTCCTTTGTGGTTATAATTATTTTGCTTCCTGGATGAAAACCTTTGCTCCCAAGTAATGCATCCAACTGATCAAGAGTGTTGATATCATCAAGAGCAAGAAACACCCTTTTACGAGCTACAATATTCTCTATCTTTGAGGTGTATACCAAAGCATCATGAACTTTAATTGAACTTGTTTTTGAAATGTCATTGCAGAGTTGTTTTTGTAAATCAAGCAACCCATTAAACTTTCCATCACAAGCCCTACTAATATCTTCGATACAACTGCTTTTGTGGAATTCATGAGAATATAACCCATAGACATGTTTGGCTAAAGATGTCTTCCCGATCCCACCCATACCCGAAATAGTGAGTATGTCTGCCGTATGTGAGGATCCATCTTTCAACCATGAAGTTACAAAGTTAATATGATTTTCCATCCCAATAAGTTGTTGTCCAACGCTCCTTAAGTGTACATGTAATCTATGATGGATGTCCTTCACAATTTCTTCAATAAACTCTGTCTCTAGCCTGAAATCAGATTTTATAAGAACCACAAAACAAACAAACCAGATTTGGAGATTTAATTTGTCCAACGATTCAAAATCAAAATTATATCATAACTAATAATTATAATCAAGTCCTTCACATTAAAACGATATTGTGTTTACACTTCTATGTTCTAACCATACAGGAATCCAATGTGTAAGGTCGTAAATATTTATGTATAAAAAGTTAAAAGATGCCAATGTAATACCAGATTTCACTAATGGGTAACCTAACTTCACTGTGTTTACACAAGACCATCATAACTATCCTTGTGGTGTGGTTGAAAAAAAGTGCCAGTTATAAGTAATCTTTTACTACTTAAAGGTAAGACTGTAAGAGAAGTTATTTATCATACAAGACACTATGATTTGAAGGTGGCATGGTATAATTAATAGTAGATGCATAGAAAACCCTTTAAATCTTGTTTTTTAGTAGAAAGCATACAAAATAATTGAAATAGTTTGTCTAAATGAACTAACTTATAATGAAGCACAAAATGCATAATAAATGTGTGAAATTTATATCCTAATACATCAAATATATGTATACTAAATGATGTTAAAGAAACTTATTGACATGTATTGGAGAACATGATACTATCATACATGTTTTAATCAAACAAAATTGAAGGATTATGGAAATATGGGTAAGAAAGTGGTTACCTTCCATTTACATCCTTTCCTTTCAAATTAGCTACTTCCATAAGCGCTTTATTCCATCGGTCCATCTTTCGAGCCCATTGACTTTTCTTATCTGCATTTGTCTCCGCCTCCATCATCCGTCTATGCTTAACCATTGCATCTCCAAAGCTACTTTGTTGTTTCCTTACATCGGTGGGCTCCACATGATAAAATATTGGGATGACAATATGGTTGGATGTGATACGCTGCTCAAGGATCAACACCAATTCATCCAGACACCATGTTGAAGAAGCGTAATTTTTGGACAAAACAATAACAGAAGCCCGAGATGCCTTAATTGCAGTCTCCAGTTCTGGTTTCAGATCTTCCCCTGTTTCAATCTCTTCATCATCCAAGAAGGTATTGATATTGGCATCAATGAGAGCCTTATGAAGGTGATCAGTGAAACTATGACGAGTGTCAACACCTCTAAAACTTAAAAATACATCATATCTATGATTATGAGTTGATGAGTTATGACCATGAGTTGATGAAGTAGGAACACGAGCTGATGAACTAAGACCATGAGTTGATGAAGAAGATGAAGATCCTTCTGGAAGATCAGATAGAACCACCATAATAAATTACGGGTTGATGACCCTTCACGTTTCTTAGTGAGCTCTCAAACTCCTCCTCAGATGTTATTAGTTACGAAAGTTGGTTTCACCCGTACAAAATGCCTCTGCACAATAGTAAATTATTGATTACAATATGCAACTTAAATCTCATCTGCTAATAGCAAATTATTGATGTAAAATAAAAATTACATTGCCATGTGAGTTATTTAAAAAGTAGCTGCTCACTTAACTGAATTGAGTTTTTTTGGCTAAGTTGGGGTGCAAAAAAATATCTAACCAATTTGTTTGTTGTACAACATCTCTATTTTATTTTGGTAAACCCACATAAGTATCCTTATTGTTGTCTAAATAAAATCCATTTGAAGTTCAGTTACATATTAAACAAATCAGCACCAAATACCATTCCAAAAACAACTAAAAGTCTTGAACAAGGAGTGTTCAGCACTTCACTGCTGGAACCAAAATCTACACAGACAAAGTGGTAAATACTTGTGTCCTAAAGATTATGAACTCACTAACAAAAATAGTGAGTGAGGATTCTAGTGCTCTAAATCTTTTTGTCTGCTAAAGCTTTAAGGCCCCGTTTGTTATGCAAGATAGGATATGATAGAACAAATTGTAATGCTTGGGACAAAATTGCAATTTTTGATCTCTCGATCTCTCGTGTATGAAAAAGACATAAATGCCCTGCTGATCCTCATAACTGAAATGCCCTTGAAAGTATATCTAGCTTGACAAATGCAGCCTAAAAGTTAGATCATGTAGCCTTCTGTCTAACTATATCAATTTGTTGATTCTTTTAGTAGGTGAAACAAATCCACTTTACCAAAATAGGAAAAAGATATACAGCCAAGAAAGGTGTCAAACAGAGACTCCATTGGCAATGGAGATAGTCATGGTAAGTTTCCTCTCTCATGTAACCCATTTACATTATGGTGTGAAAATTCCCTCATAATGTTTCTTTTCCATTGAAGTTTAGCATCAACTATAAGGTTTTCATTTATACAATTTTTGGGACTTCATTGCTTTTTTCCATAGCCGACTGTTATGGAGGCTGTTTCAGTTATCCTAGGAGGCGAACTACATGAAGGGTTAGTTGTTTGAGAACAAAAAGGTCCGAGACAACAACAGAACCCTACAACAAACAGGTATTTCCTTGGATTCTGACCTCAAGACTTTGGGATTTACATTTCCTCCAAGCTATTCCTTCTCCATTTTAAGATAAGAATTAAGAAGCGATTGCCAGGTCAGCAGCTAATCCCATTCTGATGCCATCCTTGGAAGTGAAAACTGAAGCATTATCAGCTGACCCAATTAACCACCAAATAACCAAGAAATGTGAAGTTTCAAAACATAGAACTTGAAGACTGTTTTCTGTATCAGAAGTAGAAGAACTTATGGAAGAAGTGGAAACACTTGAAACCGGAAGGTATGAATGATTTAAGTCACAAATGACATCAGCTTAGCTGACCAATGTCATATCATATGTCTTAAATCTACAAAGAAATCTCTTATCAGTTTTGTACCTCCAAACATAATTACATAAACCTAATCCAGCTTACTTTCAAACAGAAAGAGCAAAATCCTAATTTGTCTTGACAGATCCGCAAGTTTTGAACAAGGGGAACATCAGCTAGCAGGTAATCTAGAATTATGGCAATCGTAAATTGAAGTTTCTTGATTTTGAGTTTTTGGTTTACAATTAAGGATCTATAACACCATTCAAAAAGAACCAAATGTAAAAATTGTGTTTATGAATTCAAAATATAGAGTGATTAAGGAAGGAGTTTTTGAGAATCCGAGAATTGGACTGTAACTGATATGTAAACTAAACAAAAGTAGCTGAAATAAACAGAATTTTAATCACCTGTTTATGAAAATTCATATGATTATGTTGTGATCTGTGATTGATAAGTGAAATTCTTAGACAAGCAAAAGTAGCTGGTAAAGATGAGCAGAGTTTACATAAACCTGAATGCGATAACAGAGGAAAAATGAAAAGAGACAAAGGCCAAGAAAGATGAGCAGTAAGTCAGCAGTGAGTCCACGATGAAAGGAAGGGAGAGGGCGAGAGACTATAAATAAACAACGAAAATGTTGGTGTTTTCTTACGCGTTGGGATTTTCAGGGTTCTTTCCAAAAAAAAAAAAAAAAAAAAAACACGGTTTTGTTTCTTTTGAATTTCTTTTTTTATTCTTTTCTGGAATGGAAGACTAAATTACAAATATGGTCCTTGACATTTAGTGAAATTTTCACCTTGAGAACAAATTTTAAAAACGACACACAACCACCCGCCTTTATGGTCACATTTCTTTCATCGGTAGTCATTTTTACCAAAACTCATAAACTTTTCATTTAAGTTCAACTATAATAAGACTTTTTTAACCTTCCTTTGTCTTCTCATTTTTTAAATTGTGAATTTTAAATCTTTAATTGTTTTAGTAGGGTTTTTTTCGGAAAGTTTTTTATAAAAAAATTAGATGTTAGTACTTGATAGTTGTGATGAAAGTGGGCGATGATTTAATGAATGACGCTTATGTTTGTTAAGATTGAAAAATGATGAACTGTTTTAAAAAATGATTAAACAAAGAAAGAGGTTAACTTTAAAATGTAATATATATATATATATATATATATATATATATATATATATATATATATATATAGTTGTAAGACCTGTATACTATACGAGTTAATTAAAATAAAATGTAAAATACAACTGATTAAACAAGAAGTTCATTTGAATTTGAAATTTGAAATAAGTAAAAATTTTGAGAAAAAAAACATGCAAAAACTAAATATTAAATACGAAGGTTTAAACTGTAAATCTATTTAAAATTGAAATTGAAGTTTGAAATATGAAATTTGAAATTTGAAATTAATATTCATTATGGTATATTTAATTTATAGAAACTAAATCAATGATATATTGAAAAATGAAAAATTAACTAATGACAAGTGGAAAATAAATATCTCAAAATTATGACAAAATGACAAGTGACATAATGCATGATAGAATGACATTTGGCAAAAATTATTTTCATTTATTAGGGATGATGAATACATAATTAGACTAGGCGAATGCCCGCGCGTTGCGCAGAAGCATCTATATAGCTGGAATCTTTACAAATATATGTTTTTTTAAATATAACAATAATGTTGTTAAATTTGATATAATAATTCGTATACTAAGTTGATATAATATATTAAAACTGCATAATCTTAATCTTTTGAATGACCTCTACCCGTGGGTTAATAATGAATAAAATTAAATATAATATATGGTTTAAAGTTATTTATAGTTGTTGTTATTGTTAATTAATTTTTTAAAATTTATTTGCTTGACGTTTTAATTTCTATCATTGTAATCATTTAAAATATCAAACAATTTTTTTAAAGGTAACAATATAATCATTTATATGGAGTTATTTTTAACTATTGTTATTGTAAGCTATTTTAAACTACTTATTTGAAAACTTTTATCGATTATAAAAATATCTTTAAGAGATATTTTAGTTAAATTGAGATTACAATTTAGTTTTTGCATTTAGCACTACAATTTATCACTTTTAACTATTCACAAAATATTCTTTGGGTTTTTTAAGTGGAACTAAAATTTATATTGAAGTTGACCCTGTAATGTTATATTTAAATTAACAATTTAAGTAATTTGTTCAAACTGTTCAAAAGTTGTAGCTTTAAACTGATAATTGTTTACATACAACATCATATTAAATATAATAAATTAAGCATAATATGTTAAAAGTTAAAGACATAACTTTATAAGTAGAAGTAAAAATATTATTTTTGAATAGTGAAATTTAGTTTATTTATGATTACACTTTAGGTTTGATACTTATTTAACCTTATTAACCAACTTATAATCATTATTAGAAATATACTACAATTTATCACGTTTAACTATTTACAAAATATTTTTTGGGTTGTTTAAGTTGAACTAAAATTTATATTTAAGTTGATTATGTAAGATTATATTTAAATTAACAATTTAAGTATTTTATACAAATTGTTCAAAAGTTGTAGCTTTAAAATGATAATGGTTTACATATAACAACATATTAGACCTAATAAATTAAGTATAATATGTTAAAAGTTAAAAATATACCTTTATAAGTAGAAGAAAATATATTCTTTTAATATTGAAATTTAGTTTGTATATAATTACGCTTTAGGTTTTATATTTATTTAACCTTATTAACCAACTTATAATCATTATTAAAAAGAAATTGAAAAGTCATGGGAGTTTCAAATGAATGTGATGAAAGGAAAAATGAATGGGAGTTTCAAATGAATGTGGTGAAAGGAAAAATGCTTCTTTTATAAGTATATAAAGTTCAAAAGTTTTAAGACCAAAGTCTTAAACTAAGGAGCTTAAATTTCAACCATTAATTTTACATCTAATACATCTAATGGTATAAAATAGTGATCATTGTCACTTAAAAATAACCAATCATGTATCTCTTACTTTTTGATACCCACGACCATTAAACTTTCTCTTTCTAAATTTTTTATATTCCAAGTAAAATCTACATTCTCCCAAAATCGTTTCAGGAGACAGATCAAGCTTCAATAATGTTGCTATATTCTTCCAATATTACCCTTTGCCTGATTTTTTGTTTCTTTAACATCCTCTCTACTAGATCCACTTGAGCCACCATCAAATCTACCTGTAATTTTTTCCGGGCTTATCTTTCATATATAGTGGCTACGTGTCCTACACGAGCTTCTCATGGAACTTTATCCTTGCTTCGACGGTTCCTATTTTTTTGTATATTTGTGTCGTTCTTTTATTTTATGGAGTGTTTGTGTATTTGTTATATTAGCATAAGATGTTTTTTTGGTTTTCATGAGATGGCTGTATATTTCATTGTGATCTACTTTACTTTACGAGATGTCAATATATGAGGAGACATATTATCTCCACACCTTATCTAGATCTAAGAAAACGGAGGAAAAAGATGTAATCTCCAATAAGAGTGTGATAGAGAGGGAAGGGTTTTCGGATCTGTTACGACAAAGAGTTTTGAGATGAAATCGGGTTCTAAACTACGTGTCTGTCATGTTTGTGTGTACAGGTTTTGATTTTGTTATCTCCACACCTTATCCATATTTCTTTTAGATCTACAGGTTTTGATTTTGTTGTGTCTATAATTTTTGCTAATTTGGTCTTTGTATGGATTTACAGGAAAATAACGAGAATGTTGAATGTGTATGAATCTTATTTGGAATGCTTATGGATCTAGCAGAAAGTAACCACTTGCTTTCTCTTTTTTAAATCTTATTATTATGAATCTTTTGTTATATTATTATTTTGATATTTGAATGTATCAATTTCATGGATCTGGATAAATAGAAAAAAATTTCTTCATTTTTTAGTTTTTGATATTTGAATGTTTGTTTTGAGTACGCTCTTGATTTTGAACGATTTCATTGCTTGGAACATACTGATTTAGTTATTTGATTTTGAAAAGCTCTGTGTTTAAACTTTTAACTTTAATTTATGTTTTTTATTTTTCGTTTGCAGATGATTGTTGGCTACTTTTTTCCTGGAAGTAAAAACCAAACAAGATTTGAAGGTGTTGAAGTAGCTACACTACAAGAAACGAGACCTATAGGGACGACAAATGTCGTCTCCATAGGTTATAGAAAGTCGTCTCTATAGATATTGTATAGAATTTACATTCAGCTTCTATTTTTTGTTTACTTTTCCGGTTTTCTCAAATACAAAAGCGCAAAAACACTAAATTTAACTACAAAAACATTAAATCATACAATATCAAAACATTTGAATATCTTATACAGTTGTTTACTAAAACATACTACATAATTTGAACTTGTTTAAAAGTTTCATATATACAATATCAAGAAAACTGATTGTGTAGCCATGTTTACTTGTTTGCATCACCATCTTCAGACCTGAAAACATACAATTGGGAGAAGCTCATGACTTGGAGAAACTTTTGCAAGTAAGATGAAACCAAGATGGTTTGAAAGGCCTACTCACATGTGAATCCCCACAAAAATTAAATTGACCTTGTTGTCCAAAACTATTTTATCTGTTAATCTTCCTGTGCTAAAATTGAATACCTGAGACAATAGTTATATAAAAAAATAAGCCTTTAAAATGTACAAAATAAAACAGAATTTGACAAAAAGAAAAGAATTAATGATGAGACAACTTTTATTTGTGTGATTTTTAGAATGTACAACAGTAACTGTATATAGTAATGTTGTTTTAAACAACCAACTATCTGAAGTGTCTACTTTAGTCCCTCACTTAGGCTTTCAGTTTATTTGTGTGATTTTTTTATTAGAAATATTAATAACAGACAAAAAATAAAATTAGAAAAGCCACATCAGCAAGTGAAGTTTTTATTACTGTTTCTGGATTATCTGTTTCCGCTTCTGTTGTCACAAAGGCAATGAACTTTCCCTTCGGTACTACATTGTGAGAATATGAACAGCAAAACAAATACCTAAAGAAAAAACTTAAGAGCCATTTGAAAATTTGTAAATATGTTATTTTTGAGGGGTAAAAAAGTTATTATTACATGTCAGATTTGCGGCCTAGTTGTTTTTGGGGTAGGATGACTTGGGTTGAATGAGCATCATTAGTGTGTGGGATGGGGTGACTCACGATGCAAATAGCACGTGCTACTTTTCCAACTGCTTTTACCTGTTTCAACAAATGAGATTTTTTTTTAATTTTAATTTCTAGTGATAAAGGTAAGATTAAAAGTTTATTAAAATTAAATTTTATACCTTATCGGGTAAATATGAGGGATCACATACTACTTTTTTGCATTTTGCAGTTTCTCCTTCTGTTGTAACACCAATTGCTTTCCCATCTTCAAACTCTACCTGTTTTTTGAAAGTAATTGAATCTGTCAATGGAATTGGAATATGACAAAGGGTATTTTGGTCTTTTTGTAAAAAAATGAAGAATGGAATGGAATGAAATTGAATTCCCTTCACTCATGAAACATGGGATTTGAAGGAATCTAACAAAATTGAATTCCATCCTTGGAATGGAATGGAATCCGGAATTCCAGTTCTGTGGATTACCTTGCATTCTGGTTTGTTGAGCATGTAGCTGCCACCATAGACTGCACTCAAACGAATATTTTGGTCTTTTATCAAATAAAGTTAAAATATTTTCAAATAGAAAATTAAATAATTAAATAATTAAATAAACGAATCTTTTGTTATTGATTATACCTAAGGTAATTCTCCTAGTCCATAGAGAGGGTAGATATATAGAGAACCTCCTGCAAACCTAGCTAATGATTCTACATATAGCTATTTAGGAAATATAAAATACTATCACACAATGAGAAAAAATAACATCACTGTCCTTTCGGAATATCCGAATAGACGTGGTTCCTGAAAACCAAATAGACCAATCAATATGATATATCTTTAAAGCATTGTATTCATTAAAATTAGGGCTTAAGGTTTAGGGTTTCTTACCTTCTACACAGGTCAACTTCTTCAGTGCAGTCAACCCTCCCCATAATGATACGGCATCTATTTCTGGATCATGTCTGGGAACACAAAGGTGAGTCAGCAAGTAATAACCATTTAGTGAACATCAAGTAAAAATGGCAATCACCTGGTTCCAGGACTACTCAGGTGGCTAGGTGGCTGCAACTTCATTCGATTCTCCAGCCTGGTAATAAAATTGCGATAAGCCACATAACCTTTGCCATTGCATCTCCATTCCTACACACACCACAATTGTGCAATTCAAAAGCATAAGAAACAAGTATGCATACAGGAATTGCACAAAAACCAAGTACACACACAAGAATTGCATTAAAGGAAGCCGATAGTCAGAATTATAGGTTTTAGAAGATTCGCATAAAAGGAATGTAAGGAAAAATAGGTTTTGTGGTGGAGATCTGGATACCAACTTGGATCGTGATATCGCTTTCCGAACTGATATTTCTACCCTATGCCTGGGTTTCAAGAAATTCAGCCTAGGATAATCCAAGTGGACACTTACGATTCTAGGCACAGAAACTGTAAGCCAATATGCTAGAGGATTCTGAGAGTATGGTGAAAACGAGAGCTTAAGAACGTGCACTCCTTCTGATAATGAAGAGTCGTTTATATAATAAACGAGATTAGGGTTTCATTAGGGTTGGGCCATCATTAGTTACTTTGGAAGCAAGTCAGGATTAGGGACCCCAACCAGGGGCTCTGCCCCTTGGGCCCCGCTAGGGGCGCTGCCCCTAGACCCGGCCAAAGGGGCACTGCTCCTTTAGAAACCCCGGACCCAGGGGCTCTGCCCCCGGACCCCCAACTAGTCGTCGAACCGGCTTCTAATTTGATCTTATACATGCGTGCACTCCGCACCAACTCGTACACATATTAGAGTACAAATTATGAAGCCCCTTAGCTCACATGCTAATTCCAGTTACATAAAATGACCTGGTGACACTAAAATCACCAACAAGGAAGCTGATAGTCAGAATTATAGGTTTTAGAAGATTACCGAGTTGTACATACAACAGATTGACATGATTGCAGCTAACTTTGTTTACATCACAGAGTTATCAAGATTTGTAAAAACAAAGATGAGGTTCAACAATAATATAACTTACCTTGATTTTTGGTATGGTGTAAGATAAGCTTCCGAAATAAACCATTTGAACATACAATAACCTTGTTGCAGCCAAAGAAACCGTACAGAGCAAAATTGAAAACAAATCTCTATCGAATTTGAGTTTGTCGTCGTCATCATCGTTAACTTATATCCCAATTCCAGTTTCAAATACGTAATTCCTAACATATACCTCAATTATAGGTTCAAACAGAGAATTACTAACCTGGTAGCCGGTGTAGGGTTGGTATTCAATAGTAATTGTAACTGGATGTGAAAAGGATGCCGATAGTCAGAATCGGTGGCGTTGAAACTAATCGACATTGTTGAGCCTAATGGTGGTGTTAGACAACTAGCATGAGAATCCATGGAGAGAGGAAGAAGATGCACGGGGAGTGGGAGGTGAGGAAGTCGCCAGAGGAGAAGATAATGGTCGAAATTAGGGAAGGGAGAATCTCCGATCGAGAGTGAGAGAGAGAGAGATAGAGACTAATGATTGAGTGTGCGTGAACGAAACAAAGGAGGTTTTTCTCCTAATTTAAGTCGTAGAAAGATATGGGGATGACAAGTCGTCCCTATAGCCTTCCCCAAAACGCTCCTAATCCAGTTTCCTTCCCGCTATAACATGGTGAGACCGCTGTAGCTGCAAAATTCAAAAAAACAATTGTTAACTATATGGAGACGACATGTCGTCCCTATAGGGTATCTATAGAGACGACATGTGTCGTCCCTGTAGACCTCGTCTCTTTAGATGCTTATTGTTGTAGTGTAGCGTAACCTTGTATTTTTTTTTTCTTTTTCCTTTTTCTTTTGAATTATGCTACCGAACTTGATGTTTATGGGTAGTTTTATGTCATCAATTATGGATGCGGATTCTTAGATTAAAGTGTAATATGTTAGGTATGGCTAAGAAAAATGGTTAAAATTTATCTACTTTATTTATGTAAATAGTTTATTGGTTTTCATATTGTTTTATGATAATTTGGATTTCAGTTTTTGGGGAGAGATTGTCTTTAGCTTTCCTTTAAAAGATAAATTAGAGAAAAAACAATTGGATTGGAAGTATCCAAAGTAAGCATGAAGAGTTTGACTTTGTTTCTTTACAAACTTATAACTTCTAACTGCGAAAAACATATATTAGTAGTTATTCGTGGTCTAAAATATATTTGACACCTACTTTAAAATTAATACTACTATCCAATTTTTTTTATATAGCATAAACTATTATGGTAGGAATTTTTTTAAAAGGGTAAATGGCACAAAAAACACTCTTTTTACACAAAAATTCGATTTTGACACCGTGTTTTTTTTGTGTCAATTTTGACACTGTGTTTTTCAATTTGTTACAATTCTGACCACTTGACCGGTTAACCAGGTTACATACTGACGTGACATGATGACGTGTCAGTTTTGATGACGTGGCATGCTGAAATGATATGCCGACGTGTCAAAATTGAACTTTTTTCTCACAAAAAAACACTAAGTTTTCATTTTTTTCGATTTTGACACTAAGTTTAATTTTTTCTTTCAACTTTGACATTATGTTTTTTTGTTCCAAGTCGAACATCATTTTTTCCAATTTTGTTCAATGTTGATAATTTTCTATTTGAAACCGTATAAATATTTTTTTAATACATTTAAACCGTATAAATATGTTTTTTTTCAAATAAAAACCATAGTTTTGTATAAATACAATTTTTTTTCACTAAAACCATATTTTTATGTATAAATATGTATTAGTTATATAAAAATTGTATTTTATATTAAATATGCAACTTTAAAATGTGTTTGGAGGTTTGGAGGCGTGTAGTCGATCAAAACTTGGATATCAAGTTTGCAACCCATCAAATTTTTACATCTTATTAGAAGCTTATGGTTAGTTTGATTCTCATGATATAACTAGTGCTTTGAATATAAGAAAAAAAAACACCTTGTATTTAAATAAAAATGTGTTTTTTAAACAAAAAAAATATATTTATACGGTTTAAAATGTAATAAAAAAATATATTTATACGGTTTCAAATGGAAAATAGACAAAATTGAACAAAATTTGATAAATGATGTTCGATTTGGAACAAAAAAAATATAGTGTCAAAATTGAAATAAAAAATTAAACTTAGTGTCAAAATCGAAAAAAAGTGAAAACTTAGTGTTTTTTGTGGAAAAAAAATCAATTTTGACACGTCAGCATATCATGTCAGAATGCCACGTCATCAAAACTGACACGACATCATGCCACGTCAGCATGTAACCTGGTTAACCGGTCAAGTGGCCAGAATTGTAACAAATTGAAAAACACAATGTCAAATTTGAGACAAAAAAAACACGGTGTCAAAATCGAATTTCTGTATAAAAAAAGTGTTTTTTGTGCCATCTGCCCTTTTTAAAATGTTAATAAAATGTATAAAATGTTATTAATATAAGACCTATTGCAAATTAGTTAGTTTATAAGCAAAAAGCTTTGATCTGGGAAGGGTATAAAGGACATATTGGCTTATGATGAAATATGCATGCATTTTAACTATCAAAAGAAGAAAAAAGAAAATGGATTGAAAGTCTTTTATATTATTTTTTGGAAATGATTTTGTTGGGGAAAGTATACACCGTCAAAAAAATCATTTATGATGCCTGGTGATTCTAAATATATTGTGTAAAATTAATGTTCATATTTTAAACTTTCTTCAATGTAAAGCACTATTTTTCTTTGATTTTTATAAAGAGTTTATTTTCATTTATTTAAAGTAGATGCGTAAAATTGAAATAGAAAATATTTTTCAAATAACTTAAATAAAATTCAAAAAACGAGATTAAATTAACATTGGTGGAACAAAATACTTATCGATTTGGGGGATAGCGAAAACCGCCCAAACTCGAACATGTTCGGTTGGGGGGGGGGGGGGGGGGGGTGGAGATGCTTACGGTGATACCAAATATGAATTTATAAAAAGAGTTAGCTTATGAATAACCGAACTATCAAACACCGCCACATCTACGTACTTAGCTATAAACTATTATCTGAAAGGAACTATCCTACCAAAAACAATCCGTCAAAAGGTTAAAACGAACTATCTGACATGAAAACGAAACTAATCACCGCATGAAAACTATCTAGAGACAGTTGATCGCCGAAATGAAACAATTTGATGATCGCCGAAATGACACTAACTTTCGATTGGAACTAATCGTTGGAATGAAACAAGTCCCAGCCGCCGCATCGGGCGGCTACACTACTAGTATATATGTATATATATATATATATATATATATATATATATATATATATATATATATATATATATATATATATATATATATAGAGAGAGAGAGAGAGCTAGGTTCAAATGTTTCTAGCAACTATTGTGTGCCTAAATGCACCAATGAGAATTCAAGAAATAATAAATAATTAATTAAATCATTAAAGGGTATTTTGGACTTTTTGTACTTTTAATTAAATGAAATAATTTAATTGGAATCCTATAATTAAGGTAATAATAGATTATCACGTATTTGATCCCTTAAATCATGGTTCCTTCATCTTCATAACCCTAATTCTATATCAGAGTATTCATCAAACTCCAATACGATTATCTTATTCACCCACCATAGTCGAAATGTACAACCACGAGATAGCCACCTCCACCGTATACAAATATGTAACAACATATCACACCACCGGCGACACCGTTGTTTTTCCCCTTCCAGCATCCAAACCCTACATCTGAAACCGTAACCACTATCCCAGTTTTGGTCAATTAAGAAACAAGTGTTCGATTTTGGTTCCAATTTCCCTATGAACAGATCGGTGTTCATCGTGTCACGCAAATAATCGAAGATGGTGTTGGCGGAGTTAGGGGAGCATTTCACGTGCTCTCCAGCAGATGAGCAATGCCACGATCATCGACGAGAAGGTCCTTAATGATTGTTTAAACGAGATCACGCGCGCTCTTCTTCAATCTGATGATCAGTTCAAGCTCGTTCGTGATATGCAAGCCAATATTAAGAAGATCGTCAATCTCGATGATCTCACTGCAGGTCATAACAAGCGGAGAATCATCCAGCAGGTGCATATTCTTGTTGTAGTACTAGTTTTTTTTCCCTCATATTTGTTGATCCGGTGTAATCTAAGCATATGTTGAATTAGTTAATTTGTATTGGTAATCGTTGATTGGATTATATGTGGCTGCTACAAGAAATTTGAAATAGGAAAATAAGGCAATGAAATTTGAATATAGTGGAATAAATTACAAACGGGGTGTGATTCAAGAAGTCTGGTTCCAGTGATTGAAACTGTACTTCAGCAAAATGTATAAAATCGTTTCAGATTGAATTTCAATTCCAAACTACAAGCATTCTAGCAGATAATAGTTGTTTACATAATGGAGGATAATGGAGGAGACATCTAATTTCTATATTTTTCTAGTGTTGAGTGTTTGCTTATGCTGTAGACGCTCATGATACTGTAGCATGTATTGGCCCAATGTTGTTAGGTTCACTTTGTGCTGTTTAACAATGATTTATCTATTTCTTCTAGGCTATATTAACCGAGCTCTGCAAGATGTTAGATCCTGGGAAGCCATCTTTCACACCCAAGAAAAGCAAACCAAGTGTTGTCATGTTTGTGGGTTTACAAGGTACCATGTTCATGTAACTTTTCTTGTTTGTAAACTGTAAATTGTCATCATACATTTATTTGCAGTATTTTATGTATTTGGATCCTTGATGACATGTGCTACTGAATGTGAATGACTCAGGGTCTGGAAAAACTACTACATGTACAAAATATGCCTATTACCACCAAAAGAAGGGCTGGAAACTAGCTTTGGTATGTACGTAAGTGTCATTGTCCTAATGTTGCTATGAATTTCACACCTGCAATTTAAGGGGTTGGTTGTACGAAAAGGGTTAAGCTGGGATTTTTTTTTCATATCCGAATGCAAACACCTATTAATTATATGAGAATATAAATATTACATAAAACATGTGTTACTAGTAATTCTGACAGAATACATTTATACATTCTGTGGTTTAGAATGTTTATATATATAGAAATACGATTGCAAATGGTAAATCACATGATTAATTCTTTATAGTGGCATGTAAAGTTATAACTAGCAAAGTTTATTCTATGTATTATGAGAAATGTATTCTATGTATTATGCAACATTGTATTCTAATTATTCTACCAGAATGTATTATATGTATTTTGCCAGAATGTATTCTATGTATTCTGTCAGAATGTGTAAATTGATAGGAATTGCAAGGAACATGCTTTTAACCATTCTTAGTTTTTGTTGCATTTGTGATAGAAATGGTCAGAAGAAGTGCTTAAAGACCTGATAAGAATGACTTGAAGAATGAGTCAAAGTTTGATCACACTCACAGTTTAAGAATCTTCTTATTTTTTAAGAATTACACTTGTAGTTATTAATGAATTGTATATTTAAGAATGCTGATTTTTTTGTGATATTCTTTTAGAATATATATAAATATATTAAAATGTGTAAGGTTATTAGTATGTAAGAATATGTATGAATTTGTATTTAAGTTCGAATGTATATGAAAATATAAAAATGTTGTTATTCTTCAACAGGTAGTTTAAGAATTCGGTTATTCTTCATTAATATTCTAATAGAATAAAGCTTTGAAAGAAAATTATTCTAATAAAAAAACATTCTGACGGAATAAAATTGGTTATGTTTACAAATTATGTTTAGAATTAAATTGAATTAATTTTAAAAAATCAGATTCTTAAAATTAGGAGAATTAATTATCCCTAAAATTCCGAAAATTTCCTTTTTTAAATATAGTTAATTGTCCAAAATACCTTTATGCTGAAATTTGTGTGATTATATAGTACATGTTACGCTATTGTAATATCATAGACTCTCAGATCATGATCATTGATTCTATTCCATCTGTGGTCCAAAACTGTGCATTCTGACACACAATAGTTACTAAAAACAAAATAACCTAACCCTTTCAAGGTTTTTTCAGGTTTTGCCCAAAGTTGAATTTTATGTCCGTTTTTACTCTAACATTTTCGAAAAAATGTTTGGTTTTACCCTTTTACCGGTGATAACAGGTTTTTCAGGTTACCATTATATTAAATTCGCAAAAAAACCCTTAAGTTTACCCTTTTTTTTTTTTTTGCATTTTTACCCTTAAGTTTATAATTTTTTTTAACACTTTTACCCTAAGTATTTTTTTTCATAATATACGTATTCATGCAGAAAAATCGTATTTATATACGAAAAAATGTTTAATTAAATATTGTATTTATATTTTTTTTACTGTTATATATATATATATATATATATATATATATATATATATATGTTTGTTTGTTTGTGTGTGTGTGTTTGCAAGGTTATACCATTTAAAAAGATAAATAATATTTTTAGAATTATGAATACGTGTTTTATAGATATAGTTTTTAGAAGTATAAATACATATTTTTACATTTTTATATGTTAATATGTATCTATACTTCTAAAAATATATTTATACTTTAAAAAAAACCTATATCAAAATACATATTTACACTTCTAAAAATATATGTATTTACTTATATAAACATGTTTATGATTTAAGAAGTTTATATATATATATATATATATATATATATATATATATATATATATATATATATATATATATATATATATATGTGTATTTAAATACATAAAAATACGTATTTGTAATTCTAAAAAGATATTAATTTGTTTTTTTTACATCTTAAATGGTTTATCCAAGAAAAAAATCTCATACACACACACACACACACATATATATATATATATATATATATATATATATATATATATATATATATCAAGAAATAACATTAAAAAAATGTAAATACAATATTTAATTAAATTTTTTTCGTATATAAATATGATTTTTCTGCATGAATACGTATAATATGAAAAGAAAATACATAGGGTAAAAGTGTGAAATAAATTATAAACTTAGGGGTAAAAACGTAAAAAAAACTATAAACATAAGGGTTTTTTTGCGAAGTTAATATAATGGTAACCTGTTATCACCTGTAAAAGGGTAAAACCGATCATTTTTTGGAAAATGTTAGGGTAAAAACGGACATAAATTTGAACTTTGTGCAAAACCGACAAAATCCTGAAAACTTGAGGGTTTTTATGACATTAGCCCTATATATATATATATATATATATATATATATATATATATATATATATATATATATATATATATATATATTAGTTTCTTATATCTAATGAAATCATAATTTTCAATGTTTTTTTTATCTAAATATCTATCTATATTTTATCAAGAACATTTTTGGTGCTACCCCTACTAAAACTATTTGGGTCCGTCCCGGCCTACTACCGCTACTGGCACCCACTACCATACTCCTTTATATTTTGCCATTTTTAGAGAATACAATTGTTAGAAAATACAAAATGATAATCCAAAACGGTCTTATTCTCTTATGGAAAATCAAAAAATCGAAACTAGATGTAAAATATATGAAAACTCAAATGAAAATTAATCCCAAAAATTGATTATGGTATGAAAACCATCTTCATATTCATTTTGGTTCACTAAATCTCATAAGAAGTTGAAGAAAAAACAAATATGAAATCGAAGTTAAACCCTACAACCCGTACTTGCAAAAAATCCAAATCTATATTTTAGAATGTTCATCCATGGCTATAATTTTTCTTAGATGCATCTTCAAGGGTTGTGATTTTGGAAGTCATCAAAACAAACGTGGTTGGGATTAGTATATTGACCAAAACATTATGTAATAGCAAATCTTAAAGCCCATATCTACATAGCTAATTATATGTTTTAAACACCAACGTAAGACCTGATGGGTTTTGTGCAAAACAAATAAACATTAACTCTTAAGTGTGCACGCAACCCTAATAAGGATCTATGTTTTCTCTATTGAACATAAAACTATGAACATAAAAAAGAAACCCTAATAACACTAGGTTATTTTCTAAAGTACTAAAAGAGATTAGGGTTTACACACCTTTTAGTTATTGTAGTAAATAACTAATGAAAACCTTCTTGAAAAACTCTTGGAAGCAAGCACCACAAATGATGTGTCTCTAATGGTTCACACCCAAACCCTAGCAACCAAGAAGATTTTGAGGAAAGAGGAGGGAGAAGGGAAATTTCGATTCTTTCTAGGAATAGGGTGATCAAAATTTGTGCAAGGTCTAAGCGCCTTTATATAGTACAATAAAGAAACCGTAGATAAGTCCCAAACCAATAAAATAGCATTATCTTATCTTTGGTAATTATCTAGCTTTCTAATTATCCTTCAAGGATAATTCTTAAGCTCCAAGAAAACCTCTAAAACCGTCCACCACCTTGAGCGAAGGTTCTGGAGCCTTTTGCTCAACTATTTAATAATTGCACTTTTAGTCCCTGCACTTAAATTAATTCCATTAATCCAAAAATTAATTCCAATTAGTTTTTGATTAATTATTAAATAAATATTACTATTTACAATTAATATATTATTCTCATAATGTATTAACTAATTATTTATTTTGATTTCTAATTAATTTATTAACCATATTGTAACATTCGTGTCCTTGGATGAATCGAGTTAGGGTTTTGGAGGGTCAAAAGATTGGATTTTTGTGAAAAAGGGGTCACGACGTGAGGAGGGCCACATGAAGATTTCATCCAGGACTGAGCTCACGACGTGAGCAATAAGAGCTCACGACGTGAGGGGCGCTGCAACCCAAGCCCACGAAGTATAGGGTTTTCCACGTATTTAAGCCCCCTTATCTCAGTTTTAGGGTTCATTTCTGAGCCTCCATTTTCCCCTAACTCAGAAAACCCTAACCCTAATCCATCTTGGTGATTTTGGATCCATTTTAGTGTTATTGCTAGCTAGAAGAAGAGGAAGAAGAGGTTCTAGAGTGTTGGTTCAGCAAGGAGGCTTCATCATCATCATATTGTGCACATTTTGGACCATTATAAGTACCCAAGATCAAATATTTATGAGCCCAAATTGCTAAATCTAAGTTCTAAGCTCCTTTTTGCATGTTTATGTTGGATTACATGCTTGGGATCAATAAAGTTGGCAACTTTATGGATCAGTGAGTCATTCTCCATGATTTAGTCTTACGGATCTGGAGTGTGGTTGTAATTTATGAATCTTTATTGAGTTTGAGGCAATTTCTTGTCATTTTGACCTAAGATGGGTTGAGGACATGCTTGGAGCATGCATATCCATAAATTAATCGTTTTTATTGGCCTTTGGAGTCCTTGATAACTTTTATAAGGAATAGGATTAAAGACTTAATGGATTAAGGACTTAAAAGTTGGGTTTTTAGCCTCAAACTGTTCTCACGACGTGAGACACAAGGTCTCACGATGTGAGAAGCGTTTGATCCCATTTCTGGTCATCTGTTTGGGGCTCACGACATGAGGGCATCCCCGTTGACTTTTCCTTGGCTGAGTTGGCTATGTCAAGTCGTGATGAGCTAGTAGCTAATTGAGTGAGCTCTCACGACATGAACAAGGCTGGACACGACGTTAGATGTGGTTTTTGGGCATTTGACCCTTGTTGGGCCCTAGTTTTCTGTATGTGGGCCTTTTTGGTTCTTCGGCCCATTAATGAAGTATCGAGATAAAAAGCAAAAAAGAAAAAGTGTGGGACAATAAGAGAGGGAAAGAGACAGTTTCCTCTCCCTCTCTCTCTCTCTCGTGAAGTTAACCACCACCACTCCACTCGACGCCTA